AGAAAGTGTTAATTACTGTTACTGCACATTCTCTTCTGTTTTCAACAGTCTTTACATTTCAGTCTTTTAAATTCTTTATACTTCATGCTCAAATCTATGCCTTGAACCGTCACTGCACCTGACCCTCTTTGTAGAGGCTTTCATAATTGCTACCTGGATACGTTCTATTTTCTTTTGAATTTGTCAAGGTGTGGTTTTATTTCCTGTCTTATTGTGTAACTTCACTTCCTGCCTTGTCCTGTAGTCCCATGTGATCGTCTGACTGTTTCCACCTGTGTCCAATCACCTGCACCACCTTAGTGTATTTAAGCTGTGTGTCTCTTGTGTCACTTGTTGCGTTATTGTCCATCGTCCTGGATGTTCCTCGTCCCTGCCTGCCTTTTTCCCCCGGTACTTGTATGTGTTTTGCCCGTTGGCCTTTTGCGTTTTGCCCTTTTGACTATTAAAGTCCTTTTTGTTTCCCGCAAACTCTGTGTTTGAGTCCTGTCTTTTCCCCACGCAACATCCCTGACGGAATTAGCAACTATTAGGAGGGGAAACGGCTGCTCGACAGAAGCTCCCTGAGTCTGCCCCTTGAATTTGTGATATTTATCCTACTTAACATCAGTGTTTCCCCAACCATTGAACAAGGGGGCCAGCCCTCCAAGCGCCACCCCCGCCCCCTCCAGAAAGTCTAGAATTTTTGTCTGTTCGTCAGACTAATAAGCCCCCTCTGTTGGCACCCGCAAAGTTGTAAACCTAAAAGCTGGACATGGTTGGTATTTAGATTTAGAGAGAGAGAGGCCGGTGAAGCAGTTGGTTAGAGAATAAATAGAAACAGAAAGAGAGATGATGTGACGAAGTATTTGACCACATCCATCTCTTTTCCAGTAGGGGGTCATCTTAAAGATTTCATGTAAGGTCGTCATCACTTTTAAATAGTCATGAAAATTTCAAACATAACAGTTAGGATTTGATTTGGAGGAAAGTGTTCCATCCCAGACTTGGCGTGAGTACATCGTATATATGTGACAGATGAACTGTTTGGTTCAGTCTCATCAAACCCTGTTACCCTGCAGTACACCCCCAGAAGTTGTTTGAGGCTGATTTCCATAGACTCTGATACATCAGACGGCTCGAAACCCGACTCTTGATGTGCTTGGGAAGGGTCAAGTTAGAACTCATGCTTGAGAGCATGAACAGCAGTTCCCTGGGAGAAAGTCCTGTGATTGTTGGACCAGCCATCCGCGCTCTCATCCGCCCTAAGCAGACTATCGTACCCTTTGTACCACGTCGGTTGCTCTGAGAATCTAAAGAGGGTGGATGGGTTTACACCGGAGGCACCGGTATTTGATGATTTGGCAGAGGGATAATATGGCAGTAGCCAAAGGACAAATTGGCTGGTAAAATACAGTCAAAACCCTTGACCACCAGCCACAAGCTTTAAAGAGGATATCAGGGTGAATGGTTAAGTGTACAAAACACATTCATGGCTTGGTTTCTGTCTTCCGCTTCAAATCGACATGAACATTTCCAATGTTTTGACAAGCACTATCTCTACCCTGACCTTGTACCATGTGATTTAAGTTGCCTAAACATTACCATAACTGACAACAATACTGTAGTATCCGGTGTGGACAATGAAAACAAATGAAAAGTGTTGGCAGTGAAGATTTTGCAATGCCTTATAAGTTGGTATGTAAGGGTTTTGTTTGACTTAAGCTTTAGCCATTCATTTTAATGCCGTGTATGGTAAATATGCAGTCATCTGGTACTTGAGGCAGGAGTTTCCATAGCGTACTATTATCAGCAACTAAGATTTCAAACTGTTATTTGGTTGGTTATTAAGATTGCAAGGTCGATAGGGCTGACTCCCAAAAAAAAACAAGCAATAAAGCAAAAAATGCTCTGGAGCACATCCCACAGCTCAAAAGCACAAATTAAACAAGGGAAGCCAATAAAAACATGGAGGAAAAGGTAAGAGACCATGAGGAACTAAGAATGTTATAAAGATAAATGGGACTGAACAAGTTTCATTGAGGAGGTTGTTTTTCCTCCATAACAAGTCAAATGAGTCAAGAAGGATCGAGGCTGAACCATTGAGATCTGTATTTGTGCGTTTTGATCTGTTACATAGTACCTTCATTCTCCGTCAGAACACAAATATGGGTACTTCCAAGCCTGAGCTCATACAAACACTTTTGGAGTCAAGCTAACGTGATTTCTTAAGGATGTAGGAAATAATGGTCCATTTAGAGGCAAACAGACCACAAAGCAGGGGATGCTTTGTAAACAATTCACTTTATCGACTAAACCCAAGGCGATAAAATATATATAGGCTACAAGTGGCGTCTACCGCAACTGTAATCTTCCTGCCGAATGCGGCTGAAACTGTGCAAGAGCTCTTTTACACCCCCCCCCCCCTCCTCCTCTCCACATAACGTATTAAAGCGGGCGTGAAAGGCACTACACAGTTAATTACTACACACATTATATATTATAGCAAAATCCCCAACAAACATGCGTACTTTGCGCCGATCAAAATAACCCAGATGAAACTCGCAAAACTACGAAAAACAAAGTTAGGGGTCGGCTTCTAATGGATTTCCAGGCACCAGGATTTTCCAGTGATTGCTCAGCAAGGACACTAAGTGAACAGTTGTTGATTACGGCGTGGGAGACTTCACAGGAACACGTCGTGGTGCAGCTATCATACAATTAACAGGAACCATGACAACCGGACTTACTGATAGCCGTTGTTCGTATAGCAGGCCCATAACATTTATTACTACCAACAAAAAGTGCCTCCTTCCCAACTGCTGTATTTTGTGGGTACCCAGGCGATCTTTACAGCTTTAGTGTGGGGCTATTGTGATTGACAGGTCTCCACCAGAGACATATTCGGCGTCTCTAAGTAATCCCTCTGCATTCCAAACTTAAACCCATTCAATTAAAACATAAACAAAGGCAGTCCTCATATCGTTAACCTTAAATACTACAGAAAAGATATTTAGCCTGCAATAAAATCGCTAATATACAACAATCACGTCCTTATATCCCTGGTCAATTCCCAGAAGCCTATAATTACGTTACCAGTCCCAAAAAAGCCGCTGAGGAAATGGAAGTAATGACTTTTTGATTTGAAACTGAAAGCATTGCTGCAGGCAGCTGATGAAAACAGATTAAACTACTCATTTTCAGCATGAAGTCATCAATTCAAGTGTGGTGACCTGATTGAATGTTTTTTGAAAGCCCCATTTCTCATTTGTGCATTTTGTCCTAAGTTGCTATCCCTTGGTACTTGAATGCCTCCCAGCAAGGGCTTCAAAGGCGGAGGACAGGAGCTGAGGGATAAAAAACTCTTCGTCCCAGCTAAGAGTCTCCTGGAGTCTACTGGTCCACTGTGATCTGATGTTACTGCTTAAAGCCTAGTTTATGCTTCTGCGTTTTCAGAGAGACGCAAGGACACGCAGACCCATTTTTCTAGGCTCGGGTCAAAAGCTATGCAAGCCTCCCGCAGCCCGCAAGGCTGCGATTGGTCTGCTAACTACATCCTTTAGTCTCATATTTCCTGTCTTAAAGGCTGCCGCATACGACCTAGAGAGTCACGTCTTTGTGTGTGGAAGTCGTTGGTTGGTTTATTTATTTATCATAGACTTCATTGCCCCGTGCATCGCAACTGCTACTTTTCATCGCGGACACATTTGTCCCGTATTTTCCTCCACAACTTTGTTCCCCTCGACCGGCAAACCAACGCTTGTGGAGATCTCCCTCCAGGAATCGGAGGCCGTCCTTATAGTCCGCCAAATGACGGCTTGTATAAGTGGTCATATTTACGCATTTCTTCCGACAAAAGCTCTTCAATCTGATCCGTTCTCTCGTAAACATTCTTCGTTATAATAATGGCGGTATCGGGCTATGAAAACGGAAATGTGAGACTCCGTAAAGGATGTAGTTAGCGGACCCATCGCAGCCTTGTGCGCTCCGGTAGGCTTGCGTCGCTTGCGTTGCAAGCCTAGAAAAATGGGTCGACACACGCAAGGAGGTGTGAAATGGCCCGCAAGGGACACGCAAGGGGCCCTTGCGTCTGCGTGTCCATGCGTCTCTCTGAAAACGCAGAAGCATAAACTAGGCTTAACACTTAACACCCCCTCCCAACACAAACACACACTTGACCCCTGTCCCCTGCCTTCATTAGATCTTTTCTCTGGCTTTCTTGAGACATTTGGGAACATTTGGACAACTGTTTCGTGCCTGTAAAAACTAGTCTTCTGTGCTTTGTTTAACACAATAGGCGGCAAGTTTATAGTACAATACACAAAGTCAAAGTTGGTCTTGACCTCAGACTCAGAGGCTCAGTAGTGAATCTTTGATATCCTCCACGGCAGAACAGGAAAAATACAGATCAGCCTCTGGCTTCTTTGAATGAATAACGTTCCCTTTAGTTTCCACTCATCCAAGTCTTACCCGGGGAATACAGCTTGGAAAGAAACTCAAGTAAGATTAAAACGGACTGAGTGAGTTTTCTGGCCATGTCTTAGCAGTTTAGTTTGGTTTCTTTCAAAACGCTCACCCCTCAAAAACCATCCCCCTCCAGTTTGAAGAGCACCTCACTGTTAGATGGAGAAACAGCTTATCATTCCCAGTGAACTCAAGTGGAACTCATCGCAAACGTTTGTTATATCTTAATAAATGAACTGGTTTTATAATTGAATAGAGTCTATAAAGGTGGCCTAAGTGAAGAGGTTTGGCAGAGTGGACGACCTGTAAAACATGACACATCCCCATCAAGTCGCTCAACTACACCGAGACAGTGATCCGGTGTTCCTCAGGGAGTACCCAGATCATATTGTATCACTCCGATCAAATCCTGCCTGGAGGTCTTCATTTAGACTACATGTGGCCCCGGACACTTGTAACTCCACATGATGGACCCCGGTGGTCCCTTCGGCAGGATCACGTGTTGCTGCTGTGAGAAGGCTTCACTTCACTTCACCTCCGACATGCGCTGCGAGACTTACCGGCTCGTCCATCTGCTCCTGCTCGGAGTAGTCATCGTAGTCGCTGTGGCTGAAGTCGCTGGCGAAGTTGGTGTAGAGAAGGTAAGCCAGTAAAAAAGATATTCCCAGTAGGTGCATGGTTATAAGGTCTTCGTGCATTTATGATCCGAGAAGCATGGAAAAAGGACATTTAAAAAAGCCCCTCTCTGTGTGCGCTCGGGTCTCCTTCTGCTTCTGATGACTCTCTCTCATTTGGCCTCTCTCTCTCTCTCTCTCCCTTTATCTTTCTATCTTTTTTTTTCTCCCCCCACCCCCCTCTTTCTCTTTTCTTTCGTTTCTTTGTCTCAGCGTCAAGGTCCAGTACTTGCTTCACAGAGAGACTGCAGGACGTGGATGGACCCCGCTGTGAATGGAAGCCCGGTCATATGGAAACGGATCAATCCGGACGCGTCAATAACGACCGTCAAGGCGCAACATTGCAGGAAATCGCACGATCGGCCTTCAAAGTAAACTCCTTCTTGGAGACCGTTCTGTAGTCAGCAGCGGACGGGGGGAATGTGGGCGTTCCTGTTGTGCTCTACAGGAACGCCCACATTTTCTTATTCTCAATATACAGCTGGTTCTGACTGTTAGGAGTCAGTAACTTCCAGTTCTTTCAGGTAATAAATTAATCTCATTATTTGAAACAGTTTTCTCCCTTATGGCCACCAGGGGGCGACTCTGGTTGTATAGAAATCTGAGAAAATGGGAAAATGCATTTCTTGCAGAAAATGCGTCGGAATGCTGAAAGCTAAAATGAATTTTTTAAATAATATGCTGAAAAACAGAAATTAGAAAAGCTCAAATGAAATTTTAAAATAATATGCTGAAAAACAGAAATTAGAAAAGCTGAATCAAATTTGAAAGAATTCCTGAATATACAAAAAATGAGAAAAGCTAAGGTTTACTAAAATGGCTGAAAAACATAAATAAGCAACAATAGCCGTTGAAATACACGGCACGACAAAACAAATTTATTTGTATTGCACATTTCAACCACTGACTGACTCTGACATTCCACCGGTCACTTTCACTTGTCACTTTCTGTTCGCTGGTGCACTTTATTTTTTATTTCTAAATATTTTTAACTTTAACTTTTATCCTTTATTTTTAAACTGACCCATAGCCTTATATTACTAACCCATAGAATTTTATTTTATTATTATTTCTCTTGCACCGTTGTCTTGTGGTCCATTGTCGTACTGTCTGCTGTTATGCACCAACCACCAAGTCAAATTCCTTGTATGTCCGACATATTATGGCAATAAATGTGTCCTGGTTCCTGGACTCAGCAGATCTGCAGCTTTGTGGGAAACTGCATCTCCGTGTTTAGTTTTAACTCTGGGAACAGAAAGTAGACCAGTCCCAGACAACCTAAGGATTCGTGGCGGTATCATATCATTATTAGTAATCGTAGTGTCAGTAGCAGTAGTAATAATATCAGTTGTGATATAACTAATAGTATTAGTAATAGTAGTATTTATAGGAATATTAGTACTAGTAGGTGTAGTATTAATAGCAGTATAAATGCTGGTAGTAGTTTTTGTTATATTAGTAGTAGTAACAGTTGTAGTATCACTACTTGTAGTAGTAACAATAGTATTTTTAGTAGGGCTATCAATGGATTAATTAACTAATAATCACACATTTTGATTAATAAGATTAATCATGATTAAAGAATAATGTTTCTTCTAAAGACTAAATCTTATAAATGATAAGTGATGATAATAAAACTTTAGAAGGTTTGTATTTTAGACGCTGTTGTTTAATTGTACTTTTTTAACACAAAACTACACACAATTGATAATCTTGGAGGCAGAATTCCACCGGGGGGGAACATGTTGAACTAGCAACTCTTCCTGCTGTCTTTGTGTACTTTGCTCTCAACTCTCCATCATTTAATGGGTGTGTTTGAAGAGCCAAAAATCTCCCCACATTTAGCCAGGACGTTTTCTAACCGCTGTGGTGGTCCTCTGCAGGGTAGATGTTGAGCCTAGCAGCTTCCAACATGTTCGGGGCAGTCCTAAGGTGGTCCGTTTCCAAATCATCCCCCTTCTGTCACGTGGAGGAAGTCCACTGCACAGTTCTTCTGTTAGTTTTAGTTCCAATGCTATTTTCAACTACCCTCTCGGTCTCTCCGATCTAACTGACTGCAGTGTGCATGCTTTTGTTTCAGGGGGTCAACGCACCGGAAGGACAATACATCCAAATATTGCGAGCAGTAAGCCAAGTGTGCGGCAGGAGCACTGCAGGGATAACCACCATCAGATAAAACCACCGTGCACAGAAGCCTGTGCACGGTGGGGAGGGAAAGCACAAAGACTTCAGGAAAAGCAAAGCGTAATGTTGGTTTGTGATGACAGTAATAGTAATGTGATTTATGTTTAAAATAATAAAAATGATGATAGCAGCAGCAGCAGGTGTCAGCAGGGCCACGGTAGGAGGCGTCAGCAGGGCCACGGTAGGAGGCAGGAACTATATATATATATATATATATATATATATATTAGTCATAGAGTCATATAGTCCGGAGTACAAAGAAAAAGTGAGAGCTAAAGAATCTTTCAAGAGTCAGAAGTCTCCTTCCAAGTCTTGTCAAGTCTGACAAGGTTGTTGTCAGTCCACTTCATAATGTTTTTGTGTATCGCGCTGTTTTCTTAAAGTTGTAGGAATACAATGTCAACATTTTCCTGGGAGCTGGGCTGATAAAAGTGTTGAGGTGAGCAGTTTCAGCTGAAATAGCTTGGCATTGAGTGGCGAGAGATGCAGCCACGCAGTTATTGAACGGGCCTTGAGCTGAAGGTCAAGAAATGGTACATGTACACGCGCGCACACACACGTACATACAAACACACACTAGCAGTGTGGAAAGATTGTACCATGCAAGGGGTCTCTCTTGTTGAGTTGGGCTACTCAGTGTTACTGAGGAGGACGTGTGTGTGTGTGTGTGTGTGTGTGAGATTGTGTGAGAGGCGCCATTCTGTAGATATTTAGGGGATATGAAATCCTTCAGCTTTGTCGGCATTCCAAAGTCTTACACACACACACAAACAGTGGGCTCTTTTCCTTTGGGTATATTCGGTTTGGATTTAACGGAACGGACTAGAAGAAACAACAGTGAGCCGGGTTCATTCAGATACACTGAATTATTTTGTGTGTTATTAAAAGTAAATAGTAGATCATTTATGACTGAGGCAAATAGAAACATTCTTACATGAGCATAATTGTACACAATCTTTGTTATTATTATGTTTTGCCTGCTACGCATCAGAAACGTGTTTTTGTGTGATTGTTAACGTATTTGCGGAGGTGTCAAGTAACGACCGGCAGTACAAATACTTCGTTACTGTACTTTTAGGTATCTTTACTTTACTCCAGTATTTATTTTTCTGCCAACTTTTTACTTTTACTCCTTACATTTTAACACAATTATCTGTACTTTCTACTCCTTACATTTTGAAAACAGGCTCGTTACTCTTCGTTTACGGTTCCGTTTTTTTTTCAAACCCAATACAGATCAGTGGCGCCATCCAGATATACTGATTTCGAGCGTAATTGGATGAAGCATAGAAGCCCATAACACTCATTGGCTATCTATCTTTTTTGCGCACAACGCAAAACAAGAGGCAACTAACGATACAAAGCGCGACCAAAGTCAGTGTCAAAAAGAGATTTGGTTGGCAATTCTGGCGAGATGGCTGAAGGCTCTGAAGAAACAGAAGAACATCAGAACCTTCCACATCCCTGGCCCTACCTTAAAGAAGTGTTTGAATTCGTGGGGAGCAAAAAGGACTAATGGAGCATGCGGTGAAAACTTTGCGAACCCAAGAACCATGTACTCTTGGCGTTCAAGAACCGTCTAATTTAAAAAAACATATAGAGGTAAGCTTATTATTATTATAATAGTGGTCGATTTACAATGCTTGCTACAGCTTGGCTAGCATTGGAACATGCCAACGTGCCTTGGTTTGTTTGCTAACAGTCGCAAGTTACGCTAACCTAGTTAGCGCTCTGTGATGTTTGAAAAATAAGCTGTAGGCTAATTTACTACCACGATCTAAAATGTACTACACTGTGGAGAGTGAAAAGTGACGAGACAGGAGACAGAGATGCGTTGAGTCAGCTTTACTCTCCACTTCAATAATACATATCAACTTGCAACACGTGAGAACTACCGCAGCCACGCACGTTAAAACCTCACATCAAAAACACTTTCCCTTAAAGATACAGTCCCTTGGTGAATGTCTCTCCAGCGTTACTTGTGGGTCACCACACGGGCCCCCCCAGAATTCACCCATAACCACAGGCCCAGACCGAACAGGTATCTCATAGAGAACATAGGGCGGGGGGCAGGGCAGGAGCAGGGGCCAAGACCGTCGCCGGGGGCCGCCCTCGGCGTGGGGGCCGGGCCAGCTGAAGCGGTTCGCCAATATCCACATGAGCAGGTTTGAGACGGTCTATAGCTACCCACTCAGGCCTACCACCCCATATCCACAACAAAGTTCTTAGACCCTCCCACCAGGACACGGAAGGGCCCATCGTAAGGGGGCTGCAGCGGGGCACGATGGCCATCGTGGCGGATGAAGACATACTTCGCCGACGGCAAATCCTTGGGAACATAGGACTGGGGGAGCCCGTAAGGCTGGCCCTGAGCGCTGCCTTCATGTCACGATGAAACCGCTCGCAAAGTCCGTTGCTCTGTGGGTTATAGGCCGTGGTACGGTGGACCTTTACCCCCAGGACCTCGGCGACCGCAGTCCAAAGCTCCGGTGTAAACTGCGGACCCCTGTCCGAGGAGAGGTCGGACGGTGTGCCGAAACGGGCCACCCAAGCCATAACGAACGCCCGGGCCACCTCAGCTGCTGTAGTGGAGGACAGGGGAACCACTTCTGGCCACCTGGTGGTCCTGCCCACCATGGTGAGGAGGTAGATGTAACCACGGTAGGGGGGAAGTGGCCCCACCAGGTCCACGTTCACATGATCAAAACGCCTCTCAGGCACTTTAAAAGGTGCCAAAGGGGCCCTGGTATGACGAGTCACTTCCACATGCTGGCATGCCACACAGGCTGCAGCCCAGACCTTGACGTCCTTCCGCAGGCTTGGCCAGACGAATTTAGCCCCCACCAGCTTGGTAGAGGCTCTCCCCCCGGGTGGGAAAGCCTGTGTATGGCGTCAAAAACCTTACGCCTCCAGCCAGCCGGTACCATGGGGCGCGGTAGGCTAGTGGAGATGTCGCAGAGGAGTATAGCGTTGGCTGTGTCGAACACCACATCTTTCATGACCAGCGCCCTGGGGTCCGTCCTGTAGGCCTGCACCTCAGAGTCCGCGGCCTGATCCTCAGCCATGGCCGCGTAGTCAAGGCCCAAGTGGACGGACCCAGTGATGGCTCAGGAGAGGCAATCGGCGCCGAAAAGGCCAAAGGGCGCTAATATTAGGCTATTTAATATTCAGTTAATGTATCAGTGTTTCCCATAGG